AGGCTCAGGAAGGGAGTGGGGAGGGCTAATTTCGCCCAGCATGGGGTGTTGCAGCTGAAGCTTGATGGGAGAGGAGGGTTGGTGAGACTTGAAGGAGGGTCCAGGCTCTGTATTCAGTCAGTCACTGCTGGAAGAGGAGGAGGAATGCTTGCCATGCTTGTGGGGTTTGTGTGCCTTTTTATGAGCTCTCTTCATTTTCTTCTGCATCTTCTTGTCCATCACCATCCCTGAGCTGAACATGCCAAACACCAAAGGGTTCACATGAGGCATGCCAAGGGCAGGTGGTGGGGGACATGGAGGGGGATGGGAACCTGTGGGTTGGTCTCCTGGACATGGCTGTGGTGGGGGCACAGGATAACTGGGCCTGCATGGAGGGAAAGCTGGATTTCCTGGGGGGAGCTCCTGGGGGAATAGGGGAGGGGCCAGGAGGAAAGTCTGGATTGACAGGTGGTGGATGTGGTGGACACATAGGATAGGAACCTCCAGGGCACCAGGATTCAGTGGATATGGGTTTGGCCCTTGATGCCCGGCATTGGGATTCCACATGTTCAGGTAGTTCCCCAAGTCTAAGAAATGTTTCCACTTTCTTCTTCACACTGTACTCTACTCCAAGTTTCCTACTCACAGGAATCCAGTTCCCAGGCCCCTCCACCTTCTGGCCACACCCAGAAGTGTCTAACTCCTTTCTACTTCTGAACAGGCTCAATCCATCTTTCTCTGCAGTCTCTGCCTTGAATTTGAAGTGATCGCTCTACAGCACCTGTCTCTGTCCCCCAGCTGGACTTACATGTGAAAGCCACCAGCAAGGACCCTTTTCCTCTGTATATTTCTCTCTCTGTATCCCTCTCTTGGTCTTATGTTCTCTGTTGCTATGTGTGTGTTTGATAGGTTTTTCTTTATTATATTTTTAATTATGTCTGTATTTAGGGCAAGGTCTACAGGGTGTTCAGGGTCTCACTACATAGATTGGACTCGTAGTGATTCTCCTGTTTTCAGCCTCCCAAGTGCTGGGATTACAGGTGCGCACCACTGTGCCCAGTCTCAATCGCTGCCTCAGCACTCCCTGGAGTCGGGGCCAGCATAGCAGGCCCAGGGATCAAACCCCAGGCCCCTGCATCTGCCTAAGCAGGTGCTTTAATCCACTGAGCTATTTGGCCGGCCCTTGAGGGGTTTTTCGAAGGTGCTGCAGCAGAGAAACAGGCAGAAGAAAAAAGGAAAAGGGGCTTTTTCTCCGTGTCTTCTCCTTGAGGACACGGAGAAAATCTGGGGAAGATAAGGAATTCTTTGAGTTGGAACAAAGGGACGCTGAGGCTTTTATGGCCCTTTGCCAGGGGTGGGGTTTGAGGGGGATTTTTTGTATACCTGAGGAGCTGTTTGGGGTCTTTCCTTAGGCAGTGGGAAAGGTGAAAGGAAAAACTGCACCCTGGGCTGAGTTGGAGAAGAAGGAGGGAGGTGGTCTCGGGGAAGATAAGCTGTTGTTTTAAGGGCTTTAGCCATATTAGATGACCACCATAGTGATTCAGAAACTCATACTAGGGTCAGAACCTATCAGCGCTCACCTCTGAGTTTCTTTTTCTTTGCTCTTTCTCTTCCTCTTCTTCTCCCTGGAGCTCTGTTCCTCTCAAGTTCCTTTGAACATCCCCCTATCTATTTTGGTGTTTCTCATGAGTACATGGCTGTATCAACCTTTCTCTCTCTCTCTGCCACCCCCTTCCCAGGCTGGTCACTACCCTCCACCTTCTCCGGCTACAAACAGCTCATCTGGTCAGGAGCCTCAGAGGCAGCTCCCAGAAGTGCTGGGTGGGGCCAGGGAATCCCCTCGAGAGGATGGACTGCCGCTGCTCACCATCATCGTTGCCATCTTTGTCCTGCTGGCAGTGTGCATCGTGGTAGTGGTACGTTTGGGGCCAAGACTCCACCAAGGCCATGCCACTTTCCCCACAGAGCCACCAGCCCCAAAGCCTGAGGATGGCATCTACCTCACCCACTGGCGGCTGCTGGGTACCCACAACAGTCCCAAAGAAGCCCAGCAAGGACTGCTTGTCCTTGGCTCCAACCCTGCTCCACATGGGCCCAGGCCCAGCATGGATGAAGTTACATATCTGTAGGAAGGAGATCTAGAAAGCTAACCTGACCTGGCTTAGAATAAGACACTGGACTGTGAAGCAGAACAAAAGCAAACTGGAGCCTGGACATCAGAACTGCAGAAGGGCATGGAGAACTCGGCTAGCACACCCTGCTGCAGACAGGAGAAAGATAAGAAACTCAAGGGCCCTGCCCATGGACATGCTGCTGTTGGCATTCCCAGTGCCCATGGCCACCTTTGCAAAATTCCTCCCTTCCCTCAGGACCTCCAGACCCCAACCTCTTTCCCCAGGTCCCTGCCCTGCAAGCAAGACCATGAGAGGCCGGACAGAAGCCCTGGATCCTATGAAAAACAGCCAGGAAGAGCTGAGGCAGAGAACCCATGGTCTCCCTTCTCTGAAATCTGGAGACTCCGGGGACATCTGTTGCCTTTCACACTTTGGGGTACAATGGCTGTCAGGGCCTGGGATTGTTGACAATCTCCAAAGACTTTGGAAAGCCCAAGCACTATTTATATTTTCAAGATCCTCTTTGAATGCCCCTCTGACCCTGTCTTGCCTCCCTGGTACGTGGCAGGCAGAGTCTGAAGGCTCTTAGTACCTTCCACTTTGCTGCATGCATGGGCTGTTGGAACAAGCCTAGAATTTACCACAGACATTTCCCACATTCAGAACTTTCTAGCTGGTGGGAAAACAGGAAAGGAAAAGGAGTTCTATGGAAACAGTCTGGGGAAGGAAGGGTGGAGTGGGGGCCATCGAGAAAAGTGATGGGGGAAGGAAGGGGTCAGGAAAATGCAGGCAGAACCTGGGAAGACAAATTGTCAAGCTACTGACTGGCTCCCCTGAAAGACACTCCTTTCTCTGGCACCTTGGCACCTCATTCAAGTACAGTTGGGAATGTGCAGACAGGGCTGGGGGTGTAGCTCCGGTTGAGTGTTTCCTAGCAGGCACACAGTCCTGGATTCAATCCCCAGATCAGCAAAAAAGGTCTGGCACAATGATGCATGCAACAGTTCCAGCATTCTGGAAGGGTGAAGCAGGAAGATTGAAAGTTTGAGCCCAGTCTGAGCAGTTTGGCAATTTAGGGAGACTCTCTCTTTCTTTAAAAAAAAAAAAGGATTGGGGATTTAATTCATGAGAAAACCCTGGGTTCCTCTCCAGCACTGGATGGTGGTGGGGAATAAGATACTTATGGAGAAACCTCTTATACCTTACCCTGGAGTCTTTTGGAGAATAACTAACTGGTCAACCCTGGGGCAAGGCCTCTGTGAGAGCCCAAAAGTCAGGGAGACTGAGAAATAACACAAGTGGAGGGAACAGACATGGGGACAGAAGACAGGTTTCCCTCCCAAGAATCTTCTCTCTCCTACAGATTGAACCCAGGCACTGAACTACTCCCCCAGCCCTTGTTATTTTGAGACAGGATCTCCCTAAATTGCCAAGGCTGGCTTTGAATTTATGATCATCCTGCTTCAGCCTTCTGAGTAGCTGGGATTACAGGTAATCCCTGTCCACTAGGTCCAGGAACAGCTGCTGCTTCGCTTGGGTCAGCTCTATGCTAGACCCTAGTCTTATCGGTGGACCTAGAGACACTATACCATTTACTTGTCACAGTAGCCTTGAGAGGAGGAACTGCATTATCCCCATTTATATCTGGGCAAATGTGGCTTGTTACGATGCCCAAGCAGACCCAAGAATGACATGGCAGAGTCAGGAATTGAAGCCAGGCTCATCAGACTGTACAGTGGAACACCACATGGGGGGCTGGTGTAGGGGCTGGTTTCTGGTATAAGAATGACATGTGGTAGAGAATCCTCAAGTCTTAGGAGTGACATAGCTGATACAACTGGGGGACAATGCACTGTGCCCCTTGACTCACTCCCTTGCCTCTGTCCCTGTTAGGGCCAGCCAGTTCCCTCTGGCCACTGTGTCTGTGTTTGGAGCATTTCTCAAAAGTGGTACTATACTCAGAAATGCTTTTTAAATGTTTTTTTCTTTTTTGGGGGGGCGGGGAGGGTGGGTGGGATCTTATAATGTAGTTCAGGCTGACCTTGAACTCATGATGTAGATCTTTTTGCCTTAGCCTCTTGACTGCTTGTATTACAGGCCTGTGCCAGTACACCTGGCTCTGGCCTTGAACTTGTGATCTTCCTAACTCAGCCCCCTAAGTGCTGGGATCATAGGTGTACGCCACCATGCTTATCTGACATCCTGTCTCAAAATGAAAATAAAAAGCGCTGGGATGCAGTTTGGTGGTAGAACACTTGTCTGGATGTTCAACACCTGCTGATAAGAGTCAGGATATAAAGAAACTGCAGAGAGCAAGTGCCCCAGGGGAAAGCCACTGCCACCAGTGGGGGCAGGGCAGGAAGCCAGTCCAGAAGCCTGAAGACAGCTTTCCTGAGGGGGTTGCATGGTGGAATTGCCAGCAGGGATGCAGTACTGCAGGGAGGGAGCTGGGAAATCCATACCCCAAACTCACTCTCCTCTGCTCCCCTGTCCAAGCTGCCCACTCAGACAGGTTGTGAGCAACATGACCAAAAGCCAGACAGCAGGGGAGTCCACTGATGTTACCAGACAGGTCAGCATCCCAGGCAGAGGAAGGCTGAAGAGGCCCAGGGAAGATCCCTGCCCCTCCATCCCTTAGGTGGCCAGCAGTCAGAATTTACACAGAACTTCACACACACATATGTGACGGCTGGAGTTACCCAGTTTTGTAGATAAGAAAACAGGCTGAGGGGCCAGGGAGATGGCTTAGTGGAATAAGAGCTTCCCTGGCAAGCACAAGGGCCTGAGTTCAATCCCTGGTTCCGAAAAAAAAAAAAGAAAGAAAGAAAAAGAAAACAGGCTGAGCAAGGTGAGCCTTGCCAGACATGCAGGACTCAGCTGGAGATGTCAAGTCCAGTCCCCGCCCTTGCCTGCAAGTCCTCTGTGGGAGAAAGCAGCTCTGCTGGACATGCAGCCCCTGAGGTGGTCCCCAGTCCAGCATCTTGGGGGTCGCTGGAGGCTCAGGAGTGGTGACCAGGGCCCCAGAAGATATCTGTACGGAGCGGGAGAGGCTCTTCTGTCCCACTGATGAGGAGTTGGGGCTCCTGGGACAGCGAGGTTGGGCCTGGCACTGCCAGGGTCCCTGAGCTGCCCAAAGTAACCTCTTCCTTTTCCACCTGCCGCAGATGCCGGAGAACTTCCTGGGACAGCAAGAAGCTGCCTCCCTCCACAGGTTCTAGGGTGAGGACAAGGGAGAGAGAGAGGTGAGGGCTTCCTTCCACTTTCCCTCTAGAACGCATCCACAGGAAATGCTGCAAAGACCCTCCAGCCCTCCTTGCCTGCTTCTTGTCTGCCCCCCAGGTGGTTGGACCAGAGTCGTATGGAATACTAGAACTGGAAATGGTATGGATTGGTATGGTTTTCCTTTTGTCTTTTTTCTGAGATAGTCTTACTATAGAGACCATACTAATCTTGAACTTACTATGTAGTCCACGATGTTCTCAAACTCACCATCCTACTGGCTCAGACACCCGACTGCTAGTTTTATAGGTATGCACCACCATGCCCAGCTTAGAAGTAGCTTGATTTATTTGTGTATTTGTTTATTTATTTATTATGTATTTGGTACAGGTCTACAGGGTCTCACTACATAGATTGGACTTATAGTGATTCTCCTGTTTCAGCCTCCCAAGTGCTGGGATTACAGGTGTGCATCACCATGCCCAGCTTAGAAGCAGCTTGATTTACTTGTTTATTTATTTATTTATTTATTTAATTTTTTGGTGGAACCAGGGATTGAACTCAGGCCCTTGCGCTTGCCAGGGAAGCGCGCTTATTCCACTGAGCTATCTCCCTGGCCCCTTGTATATTTCTTTTTGAGAAAAGCCCTGCTATGTAGCCCAGGCTGGCCTTGAACTCACTACATAACCCTAGCTGGCTGAGAACTTACAGCAATCCTCCTGTCTCAGTTCCCCAGATGCTGGAATTATTTGCATGCACACCATGCTCAGCATAAGTGGCATTAAATATAATGGAATTTCCACCTCTCATTTTGGAGATAACTCTCAGAAACAGGCAGGTACCTGCCCAAGGTCACACTGAAGGAATGACAGGGCTGAGACCACAGGCCTGGTCTCTGTGCTCCACACCCACTAGCCCGGGGCCTGATTCCTTCCTGAGGCACTTCTAGACAAAATGAGGGACGAACCAGAGTTTGCAGCTGAAGTCCTTAGAAAACCATCTAGTGTCCATGGTGGAAGGGGCACCCCTCCCAGAAGGAAGGGTCAGGGCAGGGTGCGTCTCTTCTGACCATTGGGAAAGCCCAGAAATGGTGCTACTGTGAGTCCTTCTGACTCTGGGAGCCCCAGAGACCCCAACGCCTCATGCCCTCAGCTTAAGAACCTCTTACCCTGGTAGACAATGAAGCGGCAATTGTTCTGATACTCAGGGACATTTGCCAGGATGTCCTCCAGTGTCCGGCAGAAGAGTTTAGCCTGCTCAAGTCGATCATCCCGGCTAAAGCCAGCCCTGCTGTCCTGTGACATGGCAAACAAGGTCTGCAAGGGGGTGGCGTACTCCAGGACACAGGTCGCCACCTGAGGAAGTGAGGAGAAGACCTGATGAACCGTCCCGGTGCCATGGGACAGAGGCCTTGGAGGTAGCCACACTGATGCGGTCTGTCCCATCTGACCTGCCTTTGGCTCTGCTATGTCAGGACCCGGATGGGCTAAGTTTACCTTTCTCAGTTCCTGCTCCTAAGATCCTAAGGAAAAGGAAACTGAGTCTCAGGGCTGAGCTCTGAACTTCCACTATGGGCTGGTTTTCCCTAAACCCTCATGAAACCATTCAGATGTCCTATATATTCCATCTGGAATTGTCCACTTTCTCACCATGTTGGTGAGCCTCAGTTTACTCCTTTGTTTTTTGTTTGTTGTTATTTTTGTTCTTTTCTTTTTTGTATCAGAAATCGAACTTGAGCTGGGGAGATGTTTGGCCATCTAAGCACCTGCCTGGCAAGCATAAGGACCCAGGTTCCATCCCCAGTACTGCATACCATGCCAGCCCTAAAACCGGGTATGATGGTGCACGCCTGTAATCCCAGACCTGGGGAGGCTGAGACAGGAGGATCACTATGAGTCAGAGCTGTGTAGCAAGACCCTGTATCAAATAAATAAATGAATAAAAATTAAGAAAGAAATCCAACTCAGGACTTCACACTTGCCAGTCAGGTGCTGTGCCACTGAGCTAAATCCCTGGCCCTGTGCTCTTTTTTTAAGTACTTTTTTTTTTTAGGTTTAGTTTTGTTTGTTCGTTGAGACAGGGTTTTGATATGTAACCCAGGCTGGCATCCAACTCTTTTGCAGCAATCAGTCTGCCTCTACTTCCTGTGTGCTGGGATTACAGACATGCACCACCAAACCTGACAGGTTCATTCTTCTGAAAAGCAGGCATTGTAACTGTTCCTATCCCACAGAGCAGTGATGAGGATTCAATAGAGTGGTCATACATGCACCCAGAGTAGCATTTGGTGTGCAGTAGGTGCTCGATCAATGTTACTGATTATCCCCAGAACAAATCTCTCCTCGCCTTGAGACTGACTGGGAAAACAGGCTGAGAGATGAGTCATGAATTTTTCTCCATGCTTAACCAGGGCCTAGGCTTTGGGGGCCTGATTCCTACCTCCCTCCTTCCATACTTACCGGCTTCCCATTTTCCAGAAGCTGATAGACGCTATTCGAGTAAACTCTCCCTTTGATGCCAGCGCGGTCAGCATGCACCTGGGGCAGCATATTCATGAAGCGAATGTTGGGATCCACCATTCTCAGGTCATCAGGCACTCCACAGTCCAAGGGGAAGAGGATATACAACCGTTGGCTCCCTGCACCCTGTAGCATGTTGTTGTGGCTCTTATTGTAGGCTTGGATCCGAGCCTGGAGCCCTGGGGTGGAGAAACCCAAGAGGTCATCCACGTTAATCCTGTCTCCTAGCCAATCCAGGACTAATGTTCTGGCCACTGGCCCTGTCAGGGTGTGGGTGCCAAAGAATGAGGGTTAGCTGGGTGTGGCAACATACATCAGTAATACCAGGACCCGGAAGGCTAAGGCAGGAGGATTGCTACAAGTTTGAAGTCAGCCTGGGATATATAGTGAGTTCAAGGCTTAACTACATAGTGAACCAGTTCCCCCCCCCCCACAAAAAAAAAAAAGAGCAGAAAAATTCAAGGGTCTTATTTTACAAGAGGCCAGAGGAGGGAAGCAAAGAGTCCCTGGGGCTTTCTCTTTCTTCCTACTCCTGCCATTGGAGTCTCCCTGCTCTCCTCATGCAAGATTCCTGTGTCAGCTCCATTCCTTCCCACCAGGACCTTCAGAGCTCTAAGAGAGGGACAGAGCCCAGGAGGTGACATTCCCAGCACTGCTAGGTGTGGAGAGCCAAGTTTCTGGCTTCAGGACGGCTCCCTCAGGAAACCCTGGGGCCAAAGGTAGACAGCACAGAGATGTGGAAAAGCCACAGCTATGGCCTGTAGTCAGAAGAGACAGATGGGCACCACAGTAAAGTAGGTAAGCATCCAGGATTCGGAGAGGCCTGAGTTCAAATCTTACCTCTTCTCACTGGCCTCAAACTCTTTCTGATCTTTCTGTCACAGCCTCCCCAGTTCAAGAATCACACTTTTTTATCTCTAAAATAGGAGTGATGAGCTGGCCTGGTGATGCTCACCTGTGATTCTAGTGCTTGGGAGGCTGAGGCAGGATTGCTGTAAATATAGGGATGATGTAAACTGCTGACAATACAGGGGTGATACTTTCCCTTCCTCACAGCATAGAAGGTAAAAGACAAAAAGCTTTTCTTAGGGCTGTGAGGAAAATATTTGGCAAACCCTTCCAGGAGGCCCTTGGGAAATTACTGAATGGTTTTCAGCCCCACATTCCTTACTAGAAACCAGGCATAATAATAACACCCTTCTCACTGACAGGGCTATATGAGGAATCCATTGGTTTGGTAGATGCAAGGATGCTTTGCAAAGTGGAGCAGTTTCTGGATACAGAGGCTGCGTGTTTTACTGCTGGGGACTAGGGGTACAGGGGTGGCCCACCTGGCAGGATCAGCCTCAGATACCCGATGTAATATGACCATGCCAGCCCATGGGCCACATTGAAGTTTTGTTTTTCACAGACTGCAGAGATCTCTGCCGGAGACGGGCCCTGTGGAGAACAGGATAGAGCTATGGGGCCTCCACACAGGACAGCCAGAGTCCTTCTCCAATATGGTTCCCAACCCGCTTCAGACTTGTTCCCTTCTGTTGTCACTGGGCTCACCATCCCAGCTCACTGTAGGCTCTACAGCCAGGTCCTGACCCTTTACATTTCCTCCTTTCCTGGGTCTGAGCTCAGGCAGGCCGCACTAGCCCCAGCATCCACTCAGCCAAAGCCTCCCCCTTCCTTTGTCCTACCTGGAGGTTGAAGAGGATGTTGACTGCTTCAGAGAGGCCCAGGAGTGCGAGTGCCCAGCTGAGGGACAGGCCATGGTCAGTCGGTAGGAAATAGCAGGACAGCAATATCAGGGCCCCATGGCGGAGGGGGGAGCAGCCCAGGCAGGCCTGCACAGCCTTCCAGTAGTTGCCGCTATACCTGCAAGGGACAGCCCAGCCCCAACTCAGCCAGGGATATTCAGGGAGGGGCAGGGCTAGAGTCACGGGAACAAGCCTACTAGGACTCCAAGGTGCTGGTGGGGAGTCACCTGGAATGAACATGGCACAGCTCCTCGGCCAGACAGCAGGCTTCCTTCAGCAGCAGGCCCAGCTGCAAGGAGGTGAAATGGAACGCCAACCACCGTAAAGTGTATTCCGGTGGCTTCCCTGTCTTCCAAAGGACCACCAGGCAGACCACTAGCAAGACCAAAGCTGCCAGCTTAGTCTTGCAGCCTCTGGGATGTGGGATGGATGGATGCAGGCTCGAGTACAGCATCTGTGGGCACCAAGAACTCCATGGCCACACTCAAGTCTCTCTGATGCCCTGCTGGGACTGTGGCCCCAGCAGGCCCCCTCAACTTCCCTTTTTCTGGAGCCCTCTCATTCCCACAGGCTGCTCTTGAGGGTGCTTCTAGGGGGCAGCCTGACTACACATCATCCAATAGCTTCTGTCCAGGTTGTTTTTTGAAAGCAGAGCAGCCCCCACCACCACACCGCCCGCATCCCAGTGTGAGACCACAGGTATGGTGCAGAAAGAAGGCAGCAACTACCCCAGGCCCAGAAAGCACTCTGTGCCACCCAGCCCACCAGAGGCCTGAGGGAGCTGGATTGCCCTGAAACACACCCCAGGGAGGACTTTGAATCACCAGGGCTCAAGGAATGAGGCCTGGGCTCCCCACCTCAGGGCTCCAGTAGAACTGCCCCTGACCCTACCTTCTGCCTCCTGGACACAGGTTGTTCTTGGAAGACCGTGGACAGCAAAGGGTCAGCCAGTACAATGGCTACCGGCAGCCACCGCAGCCTCTCTGGATGCCACCTAGAAATGAAATGTTAGAAACTGAAACCTTCTCAGCAACCCTTCAGCCCTGGCACCCTGCTAGACCAGAGCTTTAGGTCCTAGGGGGAGAAGGGTATTTCCTGATTCTCAGGGAGGCCAGCCAGCCCTGTTCTGAGCCCTGATGAGCCAGGTCTGGGTCTAGGGTGTGGATAAGGCTTGGCAAAACATCATCCAATTGCCAGGATGTTCACAGCATCTACGTCACCTGCAGCCGTGGCCCTGCACATTAGGATTCCTTCATCCAACCACAGAGATCCAGCAGGACAGCACAAAAGCCCAAAGACCATGCATGAAGGGACCCTGTCTGATCGAGGTGGATTTCCAGAGGCAGATTCTCTCCTCCAAAGACTAGACAGGGTGGAGAAAAAAGCATATTATTTCCTGGAAAACACAAGGGCCCAGGGGAGGAGCTGGCCTGGCAGAAGACTGAGGCTTTGACTCTGCCCCACATGGAGGAAGTGGTTAACCCTGTAAGTGTCAGAGAGCTGAGCAGAGGCGGCTTGTGTGACTGGTACTGTAAGATCTGTGCAGGGGGTTTGGGGGGTGGAGAGGGCGCACACTGCACCATGCCAGGCCTCAGCCTCTATGTTAGTGATATTACAGCCTTTCCCTAGTTGCAGACAATACACTGAGTACATGTGTCATTTCACACAGTCCTCCTAGCCATCATGTTGGGTGACTATAATTCTACCCCCATTTTAGAGATGGGTAACCTGAGGTCCAGTGAAGCGAGACAGCTTGCTCAATGAGCAAGAGACAGATCTGGAGCCTAGCAGGCTGTTCCAAAGCCCAGGTTGTTTTGTGCCTTGACTGCTCAGCCAGTGCCGGGTCTTACACTGCTGTGCTGATTTGAGGCCAGGGGAGGAGGCAGCAAGAGTTCATTCTTGCCCAGGTTCATTCCTTCCCCACATCACAAGCAGGCATAAGAGGAGACACACGCTCGGATTCTCCTGGCCCCCAGGAGCACTGGAGCTTCCTGGAAACCCTCAGGTTACAGGAAACAGTTTCCTCAGCATGGAGGGAATTCCCTGGGCTTTCTCCTCCCTAAAACCAGTTTAAAATAAAGTTCTGGGAAGACAGGTGACAAAATACTAACAATAAAAAAAAAATATTAACAATGATTACTCTATGAAAAATGAGGGGGCTAGGGAGATAGCTCAGTAGAATAAGCACTTGCCTGGCAAGCGCAAGGGCCTGAGTTCAATCCCCGGTTCTCCAAAAAAAAAAAAAAAAGAAAAAGAAAAATTAATCTGGGAAGTTTTTTACTATTTTCTCTTTTTTTCTCCTTCTGATAAATGTGTATTATTTGTTTAATGCTTAAAGAATGCAGTAAAGAGCTAGGTGTGGTGAGGCAGGAGATTCACTACAAGGCCAATCCGGGCTACATAGTAAGACACTGTCCCAAAAAACCCCCTCAAAAGATAAACAAATACATACATACATACATATACACATACATAAAGTCATATTTACAAATGGCGATGATTTGAGTATGTTTTGTCCCCTTCTGAAACTCACATTGGAGTTTAACCCCCACTGTGATGTATAGAGAGGGTAGAAATTTAATTTAATTGGACCATGTTGTTTAGAGGTGGAAGTCATCCATGGTTGAATCCTGGTGGGTTTATTTTATTTTAGCTTTGGAAACAGGGTGGCTTTTTTTTTTTCAGTACGAGGGATTGAAAAGGGGTTTGGATTCACTATGTAACCCAGACTTACCTCAAACTTACAGCCATCCTCCTGTCTCGGCCTCCCAAATGCTGGGATTACAGGTGTGCCACCACCATGACTTCCCTGGAGGCTTTAAAGCAGAAAAGACACTGTTGGAAATACACTCATGTGCTCCCTGTCTCTTGCCAAGGATGTTGTCTTCATTACTTTTTTCTCATTACTGAGACAAAATATCTGAAGCTCATAATTAAAGAAGAAGGGGCTGGCAAGATGGCTCAGTGGTCTAAAGCACCTACTTGGAACAAGCTTGGCAAAGCACAGGGACCGCGGTTTGATCCTCCAGCACCACATGCCAGCCAGCCCTGCCCCAGGTGGGCGGAGCTGGCCACACACACACACACACACACACACACTAAATAAATAAATGTTTAAAAAAAATTAAGGAAAGAAAGGTTTATTTAGCTCACTGTTTATGGAGGTTTCAGTCCATACTCAGCTGACTCCAAGACAGACTGGCATATGGCAGACGGCAGCAGTTCAAAGAATACAGCAAAGCAACAAGAGCAAGGAAAAAGCAAGCCTCTTCTCCTCCCTTACACTGTAAGCAGGCTTGAGGATGCTTACAATCTTACGCAGGATGAGGATGTTTACAAAGTGAGATGTTTACTGGCCTCTTACTGCATCACTTAAACTTGTAAATTTCTCAGGTTGACACAGTGTATCAACCATGACAGGTGTCCTATATCAATCTGGGCACACTACAGCAAGAAGCCATCACCCTGTGAAGCCCTCTACTTTGGACCAGAATCATGACCCCAGACAACTCTCTTTTCTTTATAATTGACCCAGTTTGTGACATTGTGTTCTTGGCAGTAGAAAACAGAGTAAGACATAGGAGCTAGAGGTTAGGACTTCAGTATTTCTCCATAGGACACAATCCAATCCCCCTCCATGATGGGAGAGGAGGATAGCCAATGAACAGAGAGTGAGGCCATGGCCAGGGCTTCCAGGCCCAGCAATGTCACATCGGTTACTTGCAGGACCCTATCCTTGAACTCAGACAAAGGGGCGAGGCCTTGTAGCTCTTCCAGATTGGCCATCTAGCCTTCTGAGGAGGAAGCAGAGGTGATGAAAGGAAGCTAGGCCCAGGCTGCAGGCTGCTGCGCATGCCCCATAAGGGCTGGTCTAGACAGGCTCTTGGTTTCTATTTCCAGCCCTGTTCTTGTTCCCACTGGTCTTCTCCCTGAAGCTTGTCCAAACCATTCTTAAGAGAAATCAACTCCCAGGTTCATTTTGGTGGCTCAGCCCTAGACAGGGTGTAGAGGGGCAGGGCGCCCCCCTCTCATGGCTTCTCCGTGGCACCCCAGTATCTCACATTCCCACTGGAGCATGATATTGGGAGCATTACAATATCACTTAAGATGGGGAAGGTGGAGATGCGCACCTGTAATCTCAGCCCTCCGGGAGTCTCAGGCAGGATCACAAGTTCAGGAACTGTCTCCTCCACCATGCTCCTCTCCCTGCTGTCTGGCCTTGGTACAGGATGACTAGGGACCGAATCCAGTAGGAGCCAGAATAAGAATCCTCCTGACAGTGGTGGGTGTGGAAATTGTGCCCAAGAGAACGGGTCTTGCTGGTGTGTTTCCCTGTCGTGCTCCATTGGGTCATACAGAGCCCCTTCTTGCAGTTTCTTCTCTCCTGGACTTCTTCGAAGACAAGGAACCTCGAAGAGCTTATAATTATGTGAAACAGACACAGCAGAAGTTCCCAGGTGGCCACTCTGTACCTTACTGTTACCGGGTTGGGCTGCTGGAGTCTCTTTCTGGAGATGGTTTCTAGGTTCCTTCTATCTTAAGCAAAGAATTGCTCAAGTGCAAACAGTGGCAAAGATGTATTAAAGATAGAGAAAGAAACAGACTCTGTAGAGTGAGTTTGGGCCAAGAAAAAGTAGAGAAAGAAGCACAGCTGGATGTGGTGGCACATACCTGTGATCCCAGCACTCAGGGAGGCTGAGGCAGGAGGGTGGCTGTGAGTTTGAGGCCAGCCTGAAGTACATAGTTGAGACCCTGTGAAGAAAAAGGAGCAGGAGGCCAGGGAGATGGCTCAGTAGGATAAAGCGCTTGACTCGCAAATGCAAAGATCTGAGTTCAATCCCCAGTTCCACCAAAAAAAAAAAAAGGAAAAGGAGCAGGAGGAGGAGAAGAGAAGGAGAAGGAGAAAGAGAAAGAGAAACAGAAAGAGAAAGAGAAAGAGAAAGAGAAAGAGAAAGAGAAAGGGAAAGAGAGAATCAGGAGAAAAGGAGGAGAGGAAGAAGAAACCAGGGAGTTAGCTCAGCAGCATGCAGCATAAGTGCTTGTCTGGCAAGCATAAGGTCCTGAGTTTGATCCATGGTACCAAAAAGAAAAAAAAAAAAAAAAAAAAAAAAAAGCGGGCCTGGGAGATGGCTCAGTAGAATAAGCACTTCCCTGGCAAGCACAAGGGCCTGAGTTCAATCCCCGGTTCCGCAAAAAAAAAAAACAACACAAAAAAAGCACAGCATACAGGATGAGGACAGTCAGCATCCAAGAGAGAACACAGTGCAGAAATTCAGGGCAGACCATCTCTTTTGTATCATCCACACCACAGGCTTAGGTCAGGTCTAGGCCATCCCATCAAAAACCTGCTCAAGTTCTTACAAGAAGTTCACAAGCAGAGTTTCAAGAACTGTTCAGATGGCTGGCCAGATATCTCAGTGGATTAAAGTGCCTGCCTAGGCAGATGCAGGGACTGGGGTTCGTTCCCTGGCGTGCTGTTGGCGAATGAGACTGGGCGTGGTGATGTGGACCTGTACTCCCAGCACTTGGGAGGCTGAAAACAGGAGGATCACTACGCGTGTGATCTGTGTAGTGAGACCCTGTAGACCCTGTACTAAATACATTAAAAAAAAAAAAAAAGAACTGTTCAGCACAGGTATCCTGGGAACTTATCTGGCCTCCTTTCTTAGCCATGCCCTGCTTTCCTATCTCATTATGCCTGGAACCTCATATTCATGCTTTACCGTTTTTGTGAAAATTCTAAGACTCCTAAGGAAGTTCCAAGAGCAGATGTTACTGAGTGAAAAGATGCTGGCTGCCCTGGGTTCACTCCAAGAACCTGTTTCTTTGTATGAGGGTCTGAAGAATCATTATGAGGACATCCTTCAGAACTGTCAAAGTAATGAAGAAGGTGAAGTACCATAGAACATGTGACAAGCTCTAAGTAACTGGAGAGCATTTTTAGTTCATCAGTGCTTTCCTGTAAGAACTGATTACACATCTGAACTAGGCAGGCAATCTTTTGATTACAGAGAGCTTTCATATTAGATGGGTATTTTCTGTCTTTTTACAGAAAAATGTTAAGTTTTCTTTGGGATCTGGACATAATAAGTAAAAAATGATTCTTCACTGGAGCAGCTGTCTCTTAAGGAAAAAACTGCTTGAACAACTGGCACTGCAGCTTTACAGAAATGAAGTTTCTACCTTATGTAAGAAATCTCCAGTTCCTGAGTTAGATTCCTGTAAAAAAAAAAAAAAATTGCCAATACTTTTGTTTGCAGACAAAAGCACTTGTGAATTGAGATACCACTACATAGTGAGGAGACTGTTATGGCAAATTGTTTTAGTATATTCATATCATTCAAAAAGAAACCCTGTAAATGAAGCACAAGAAAAAACA